GCCTTGATAGTGTGTGAGGTTTAGGGTAAACTCAGAAAGCTCAGGATGTCAACTTCAAYTTCAGATAGGTTCGTGCAGCCAGCCATTCCGAAATTTGATGGCCACTACGACTATTGGTCGATGATGATGGAGAACTTCCTGCGGAGCAAAGAAATGTGGAATATGGTGGAAGAAGGGATTCCGTCAGCAACCGGGAGTGGAGCGGTTAGTGAGGCGCAAAGAAAGAGTATAGAGGAAGCCAAACTCAAGGATCTGAAGGTCAAGAACTACTTATTCCAAGCCATTGACAGAGAGGTATTGGAAACGATTCTTGACAAGAAGACATCGAAGTCAATCTGGGAGTCGATGCGAAAGAAGTACCAAGGATCCACAAAGGTGAAAAGGGCACAACTTCAAGCACTAAGAAAGGAATTTGAGTTGCTAGCCATGGCAGAAGGAGAGAAAGTAGACATTTTCCTAGGGAGGACTTTAACTGTAGTGAACAAGATGAAGTCGAACGGCGAAGACATGGAGGAAAGTACAGTTGTAAGTAAGATACTCAGATCATTGACATCCAAATTTAATTATGTAGTTTGCTCCATCGAGGAGTCTAATGATCTGAGTACTTTAACTATTGATGAACTACATGGGAGTCTTCTTGTTCATGAACAAAGGATGCAAGGGTACCTTCTTGAGGAACAGGTGCTGAAAATGACGGTTGATGAAAGACCAAGTAGAGGAAGAGGGGGTAGAGGCATGTTCAGAGGAGCACGAGGCAGAGGCAGAGGAAGAGGAAGACARCCCATGAACAGATCTTTGATCGAGTGTTACCACTGTCATAAGTTGGGCCATTTTCARTACGAGTGTCCCRATTTGGAGAAAGCAAATTATGTCGAGACAAATGAAGAAGAGGAGATCGTGTTGATGGCTCATGTAGAAATGGGTCAAACTAAGAAAGAAGATGTCTGGTTCCTTGATACTGGATGCAGTAATCACATGACGGGAAATAAAGATTGGTTCTCGGAGCTGGAAGAAGGTGTTTTCCGAACCGTGAAACTCGGCAATGATACAAAGATGGAGGTTGTCGCAAAAGGTAGCGTAAGGATGCAAGTGAATGGGATTATTCAGGAAATATYAGATGTTTATTTTGTTCCTGAATTGAAAAATAATTTACTTAGYGTTGGACAACTTCAAGAAAAGGGGCTATCGATTTTAATCCAGCATGGAACTTGCAAAATATTTCACCCTATGAGAGGGTTAATCATGCATACTACCATGAGTGGAAACAGAATGTTCTATGTGCTAACTGTTATGGCACAGAAGAACATGTGTTTGCAGGCTGATGTTGTTTCCGAACAAGAAGCGCACCTGTGGCATTGTCGTTTTGGGCACCTCAACCACAAGGGACTTAGAACACTTTCTTATAAGAAAATGGTGATCGGCTTACCTCCAGTAAAGTCCCCAAAGATGATATGTACTACTTGTTTAACTGGAAAGCAACATAGAGAATCGATACCACATAAGAGTTCATGGAGGGCCTCAAAGATGCTTCAACTAGTACATGCGGGATATTTGTGGTCTGATCAGACCTATTTCGAACAGTAACAAAAGGTATTTTTTAAGTTTTATCGATGATTTTAGTCGTAAAACTTGGGTTTATCTGTTACATGAAAAATCGGAAGCATTTGCTAACTTTAAGAATTATAAGATGTGTGTTGAAAAAGAAAGTGGTGAGAAAATTATTTGCTTAAGGACAGACAGGGGAGGTGAGTTCACCTCAAACGAGTTTGAGGAATTTTGCAAAAATCATGGGATCAACAGACAATTAACAGCAGCGTTCACACCCCAGCAGAACGGCGTTGCCGAGAGAAAGAACAGAACGATCATGAATGCTATAAGGACCGTGCTACACGAGAGGCAAGTTCCCAAAGTATTCTGGCYCGAGGCAGTAAAGTGGTRCGTGCACGTGCAKAACAGGTGCCCAACTGCAGCCTTGGATAACAAAAYGCCCGAAGAAGAGTGGAGTTCCATGAAGCCTACGGTCGAATACTTTCGAGTATTTGGGTGTCTAGCCCATGCTCATGTACCAGACCAAAAGAGAAGCAAGTTGGATGATAAAAGCAGAATATGTGTTTTCTTCGGTGTTAGCGATGAATCTAAAGCCTATAGATTGTTTGATCCGGTCACGAAGAAGATTGTGGTGAGCAGAGACGTCATATTTGAAGAAGACAAAGGTTGGGATTGGGGCAGAACTGGAAAGGAGCACAAAGCTGATAGGCTCACATTAGAAGATGACGATGATAGTAATACGGAAGAAGAAGCTGAGCAAAGTGGAGAATCAGACAGTAGCAGCAGCAGCATCCCAACAGATGAACCGAATAACGACCAGGAGGGTCCGGTTGAAGGGAGGGGTGCACGAAACAGAAAAGAACCAACATGGATGTCAGATTACGAGACTGGGGCAGGCTTGTCGGAAGAGGAAGCAGAGTTAAACATGATGATGTTAATGGTCCAAGGCGAAAGTGATCCTTATCTCTTTACAGAAGCAAACAAAAGCAAGAAGTGGCGAGAAGCAATGGCTACAGAAATAAAAGCCATAGAAAGAAACAATACATGGGAATTAACAGTCTTACCGAAAGGAGTGAAGGTTATTCCAGTCAAGTGGGTTTTCAAAACCAAACTTGATGAAAGAGGGGAAGTACAAAAGTTTAAAGCGAGGTTGGTGGCTAAGGGGTATGCACAACGATACGGAGTGGATTATACGGAAGTGTTTGCACCTGTTGCAAGATTGGATACCGTTCGGGTAATACTTGCGTTAGCGGCACAAAGCGATTGGGAAGTGTTTCAGCTCGACGTAAAAAGTGCTTTTCTTCACGGTGAGCTCAAAGAAGAAGTGTTTGTCGAGCAGCCAGAAGGTTTTGTAAAGAAAGGAGMAGAAGACAAAGTATACAGGTTGAAAAAGGCATTATACGGCCTTAAACAGGCTCCAAGGGCCTGGTACAGTAAGATTGAGGCGTACTTTGCACGAGAAGGTTTTGAAAGATGTACGAGTGAACACACTTTGTTCACTAAGTCAAAAGAAGGTAAAATATTRATAGTTAGTCTCTATGTAGATGATCTAATCTACACTGGGAATAACAAAAAGATGTGTGATGAGTTTAAAAACTCAATGATGTTGGAGTTCGATATGTCCGATTTAGGAAGGATGAGGYATTTCCTTGGAGTAGAGGTCATACAAAGTGCAGCTGGAATTTTCATCTGCCAAAGGAGATATGCTCGTGAAATTCTAGCAAGGTTTGGCATGGAAAATAGCAATTCAGTAAAGAATCCTATTGTTCCAGGGACAATTTTAACAAAAGATGAAGCAGGTGATGAATTTGATGCTACTATGTTCAAGCAAGTAGTTGGTTGTCTCATGTATCTCAYTGTGACCAGACCTGATTTGACGTATGGAGTAAGCTTAATCAGCAGGTTCATGGCTCGCCCYAAGGTATCGCATTGGTTGGCAGCAAAGAGAATATTAAGATACATAAAAGGGAGTATCGAGTTTGGTGTTTATTACAAGAAGGGAGAATACAACAAAGGTCTTGYAGCTTATACAGATAGCAGTTATGCTGGCGATCTAGATGATGGAAGGAGCACCTCCGGTTTCGTATTCATGATGGGGTCGGGAGCGGTCTCATGGTCTTCAAAGAAACAGCCGGTGGTGAGTCTGTCAACCAYCGAAGCCGAGTACATTGCAGCRGCCTTCTGTGCATGTCACTGCGTCTGGCTAAGGAGAATCTTGGAGCAGATTGGAGTCGAAAAGAAGAGTAGTACTGTGCTTCATTGTGATAATAGTTYTACTATTCAACTCTMAAAAAATCCTGTGTTCCAYGGAAAGAGTAAGCATATCGGAGTAAGGTTTCATTTCCTTAGAGAGCTGGTAAGTGATGGGGTTATAAAGTTGAGCTTTTGTAGCTCAAAGAACCAAGTTGCAGATGTTATGACGAAACCGTTGAAGYTGGACCAGTTTGAAAAGTTTCGAAGCATGCTCGGAGTGATGGAAGTTGGTGCAATAAGCTAAATGCAGATGCTTAGCTTAAGGGAGGGATTGATGGTCAAAGAGTATTTATCTATTTTATTTTGAATTAGTCCAATAAGTCCTAGTATTTGGGGAAGTCCTAGTCTTGTGGGTAACTCCCTGATTTTCTCTTTTCAGTTTTGCTTCCTGTTTTGTATTGGCTATAAAAGCCTTTCGTAGCTTCTTTAATAAAGYAATCTCTTCCAACTACTAATCTTTGTGTGATCAGTTTTTGAGTTCTCAACAATAAATGTATTGAAATGATAAATTAGAGAATATTAAAAAAATTTAAATAAAAAAATCTTTCTTATTTATTTTAGAAAAATTACAATTAAGGAGATAAAATATAGACCTAAGCAAAAATATATATAAAGTCCCATTAAACTTGTTCACCTGGTTAACAAACATGTCCCAAATTTCTAACAAAATTTGCAGAAGCAAGAAACAAATTTTCTTCTTGTTGGAAAGCTTAAGCATTGCCATATTTAGTTGCACAAATCATGAGTACCTTTCCATTGATAATTGCATATCAAAGCTCTAAATATGGTATGTAAAGCTTTGAAATTTCAGAAGGAAAGAGAAAAGAGGTACACTGAGGAACCGGAGCAGGAGATCACGGGAGGAGTTCTTCAATATCAAACTGTGGTTTTGAGGTAAGAATTTTATCCAATTGATTCACCATTCATGTTTTAGTACCAATTACATAAGTCATTTAAAACCAGAGATAAACTTTGGAATCAGATTACTGCATGCATATATTATATATATGAGAAATCGAGTTTAACATTACAAGCCGTTGAACAATCGAATCGAAACAATACTGAAAACCGAACCTAGATCTACTATATTAAACCTTGAGTCGTTTGTGTTTCGTTGATTTTGGTACGATGTGGTCCAGCCCAAGAGTCTCGAACATCGGTGTAGAACCCCCTGATGATTTGTTCTTCGTGGTACGGAAATGACAAGACTTAGGATTGCGTCCGATGCCACCGATGAGTCTTCGGAACTTGGAAGAGAACTAGGGTTTGTGGCAGAGGAAAGTGATCCAAATGGCTGGAACCGGGTACGGTAATTGTTATGGTCGGGTCAATCAACGGGTCGGGCTGCCAGGTCTAGATCCGGAAGTTTTAAAAGTAATGCATAAGCCCAGGGTCATAAACGACCGAACAAACACGATGGAGGCTTGTTCATGTTCGTTCGGTTAACTTAACCGAACAAACGAACGAACACGAACGGTAAATGAACGAAAATCTTTGTGTTCGTGTTCGTTCGKTTAGAAATCAGGTGTGTTCGTGTTCGTTTATGTTCGTTCATTAACATGCTAAACGAACGAACATAAACGAATAGGTTAAACGAACATAAATAAACATTATTCGAATTCAAGTAAATAAACAAAAGATTATATATTAAATTTAATATATAAACGAACATAAACGAACAAATATAAATGAACGTAAACGAACGGTAAATGAATGAACGTTCATGAACATAGATGAACGAACGGGACTCTTGTTCATGTACGTTCGTTTAACTAACCGAACAAAAAAATTTGTTCATATCCGTTTATTTATTAAATAAATGAACATAAACGAACTTCCCGCCGAACGGTTCACGAAGGGTTTGCTGAATGTTCGGTTCGTTTACAGCCCTACATAAGCCAACAAGTCATTTTAAATAGGTAATCTTATGATGTTTCAAGTTGTTATTTTGAGCTTAATATGGGAATTCAATAATTTGGGATTTATTTAATTAATCTTAGTTAAATTAACTATGGGGTGGTTTACCTAAACACTTATCTGGTAAGCGTTTAACGGTAAAATTCAACGCAATCACTTACTTACCGGGTAAGATTTTAGTTCACCAAAACAACTTCGTATGTAACAACTTACCCGGTAAGCACTAACCGTGGTAAGAGTTGTCGCCGTCACCGTCACTTACCAGATAAGACTCTCGTTCCTTGTCTTCACTCTTGCTAGGTAAGATTCTTGGTTTTGCCATATGCATTTGGTAAGGTAATGTGACTTGGTAAGCGCTTACCCGAATAAGCATTTGGTAAATGATCCCTCCCATGCACTAAACGCTTACCAAGGAAGTGCTTACTGGGTCACTTTACTAAGAATCTTATCCGGTAGGAGCAATGACAAGGACCAAGAGTCTTATTCGGTATTCGGTAAGTGAGAGTGACGGTAAGTACTTACAGGATACAATGTTGCATATGATGTCGTTTTAATGGAGTAAAATCTTACTCGGTAAGTTAAGTGGAAGTATTGGATCTCACCGGTAAGCGCTTACTGGGTAAGAGTGGCCAAACGTCCCTCAAGTCTTTAAGGTACAAAATTTGATGGTCTAACCCATTGGCTTAAAATACTTTCATGTGTCATTTCAATAGAAATAAAACACTTTACTCTTGCAGATATGATTCGTTTGCGTAATGTTATATGATGTAATGAATTGTTTGAAGCATGCAAGTTTGTATTATATTTTGAAATGCATGAACATAATCTTAATTATCGAAAGATGTTTTGTGGACTGTCATAGCTTGCAAAGGGAACTTGTATGACACGTAGTCGTGAGGGCATGAACCATATGGCATGAGATTATGTTGTCTCATGAACTGTATGACATCTGAAGAGGGGGACATCGTAATAGCTCCGTTCTACGTGATTTTGTTTTGCTACGTAGCCATTAGTCACGAGACTCTTAAGTATTTTTAAAGTATGCATGCTTATATGAGAAAGTTGTTCCATCGTGATATTTTGATTTATTGTTTTTAAAGTTGTTGACATCAACGTGCATGAAAATCATAAAACTCACTAGACCTTCAAGTTTAACTGCTTTTTGTTGAAAGTAATGCTATTCAGCCAAGGGAAAGTTTTGATGCTCGAGATTTGTTCGGTGGTGCAATTCAGACCTGAATTGATTCTTGGTATTTTGAAGATTTGTTATTAGTTATCTATATAAATCTCGGTAACTTTATTATTTTTTATCGGATATATTTTGAGATGATCTTGGAACGATAATTATGTTATTGAAGTTACTTTATTATTATTATTATTATTATGGGTCGTTATAAGTGCTAAAAAGCTAGTTAAAACGAACTAGGTTGAGATAGCCTAGACCTAAACAAATAGACGATGATCGGATATATTTTGAGATGATCTTGGAACGATAATTATGTTATTGAAGTTACTTTATTATTATTATTATTATTATTATTATTATTATTATTATATTATTATGGGTCGTTATAAGTGCTAAAAAGCTAGTTAAAACGAACTAGGTTGAGATAGCCTAGACCTAAACAAATAGACGATGATTGGTAATTCCGATAGAGGCATAATATGGTGTGGATTATGTATGGTCTAGGTAGCAAGGGAAACAGTGAACTGAAGTTATGGTGCCTGTGAAGGAAGCTAGCAGTGGATCACAACGTCTCTTGGAGCAAGAAATGATCAACATGGCAAGCAGTTTTAGCACTTATTGAATTATCATGCTTCTTTTTGTTGCAAGACAGACCACTGTTCTTGCGAAAATGCGAGGAAAAAAGAAACAAGCCTCACTTTGTTTGTATGAATGAGCAATTTCGGACTAATAACGGCAAATATGTTGTTTTCTTTTGCATTTACAATTCCATTTCCATCATTTTCCAAAATCATTTTTTCACCTGTAACATATAATATTACAATTCCATTTCCATCATTTTCCAAAATCATTTTT